ACCTCCTTGTTTCTAAGAAAGCTGTTTGAGCGAGGGTTAGTCAGAGAGTGAATCAGCTTGTGTGAGCTCTATGTGCTGCGGTGCTATTAAAGATGAAATTCCTCTGACTCTGTTGGAGGAATCCAAGTGAAATGGAGAAAGCCCAGACTGAGCTGTGAAGTGAAATTTGAATCAAGTGGAAAAGCGTGGGAAGGTAATGGCCTTTCAGCAGAATGCAAGGTGATTAACAGCCAGATTACTCTGGTCATTGTTGGACCTTCTCCTCCATCTTCTCCATCAGTGTACCGACATGATTCCTAGTCTGCCTGCACTCAGTATTGTTTCAAGCACTGTAGCCATGATAGGTTTTTACTGTGCCAAGGGTCAATACCACCATCACTTTCATAGACACCTGTCTTTTCACTCTGATTGATCCAGGTATGACCTCCACTTGACATATCCTGCTGGGGACAGACACCCGAAACACAAACCGAGCTATAAAGCCCTTTAATAAAGACTTCTATGGTCAGGGAAAAGAATGGCAGCAAGGACTGCAGACCAAGTGTCCTTGGGCAAGTTCACTTCACCCGCCTTACCTGCTGTGGGGGTCAGAGGGCCTTGTGGCACCGGAGCACTGCAGCCTCACCTCTGTCAGACTGCCCCAGGACAGCTGTGGCTACTCTCCAGTAGTGAGTGTGTGTGTGAATGGGTGAATAACTGAATGTAGTGTGAAGCGCATAGGGGTTCCACTGAACTTGATAGAGCGCTATACAAGTACATGCCATTTACCATTTACTGTGCTGCTAGGGACAGACACAAACAGAGCTATAATGTTCTTTAATAAAGACTTCTTGAACAGTAGCAAGACGTGAAGGCCAAGTGTCTGTTACTAGTTCTGATGACCAATCACGTTTGTCACCCCCACATAATTCAACCGCACTTTATAAGCTGGCTGAAAACATTACCCCAGAACTATTACTAGTGACTGTTTAGATAACCTGGAGATACTTCCTAGTGCTGTTAGAATGGATAACAAATTATTCACTCATCTAGTTCAGGAAATTAAAAGTGTCACATACCCATTATCCTATCCTACCCTACTGTAGCTGTCTGATCCTTTCTGCTCTCCTACTAAGTGCTTTTGGATCTGAGACGAGGCATTTTTAAAGTAGAAAATCACATTACCGTAACTCTTTTACCTACCATAGAGGCAGCTTATTTTCACTTTAATGCTTGATGTGATAAATGACAGCATGTAATAACCTGTCCTGGGTCACAGATGATTGCATTAGCTAAAGTTGAGCTCGCTGTTGAAGTACTTGATCTTAAAACTGACTGCACACCTGTTTTAGAGCCCTGTCCACCAAGTTATCATGGTCTGTTAGCAGCAAACATGTTTGCACTGGGACAGGCAGGGTTGACATATGTCAGAGTAATGAATCCAACTACAGCTGACATCCAAGTGCCTTCTGACACCAGACTAGGTGATTTTCATCCCCCTAGGGTAAGTTAGTGATAGATTACTATTATGAAGTGAAGACTCCTGTAGCAGCAGTTGAAGCAACAGCTATTCCTCCTCCTACACCAGCCTTACCTGACGTTGATCTTCACCACTCAGGACTCGGCGATGACCAATGCGGACAACTTGAAGCACTATTACTAACTTGCAGTGACATGTTCAGTGTCCACGACTAAGACTATGGACGCACAGATGTGGTCAGACATTGTCTTCAGACAGATGAGGCTCCTCCCATTAAGCAAAGAGCATACAGACCTTCACTCAACATCTGAGCAGACATAGACAGGAAGGTGCAGCAGATATCATTGAGGAGAGCTGTAGCCCATAGTCTTCCTCTATTGTTTTTGTGAGAAAGAAAGATGGAAGCTGCTTTTAAAAACAAATTTTTTCCACCCCTTCCAAAAAGGCTTACAGCTGCCTATTTTAATAGTTCATACACCAGGTATACCTTGATGTGTATTAATGCACACAGTCGAAACTGTCTTAGCACTACTGCAGAAGCTGATTCACTCTTTCTTATTTCCACTCTTGCGGTGCACAGCCAGTCAACATCAAGGAAAATAAATGCTGTTCCTGGATTGTGTACTTTGCAAATGTCAGTCAATACTATGTCAAGTAGCATTGCACCCAAATACTTCAGCTTCCATACCTGCATTTTGTTTAGAATTTTTTAGATATGCTTTATGAGAAACTTACAAATAGGTGGATTTTGTGGATTTTGTGTTTTTAGTTACATTTCACAGAAAACATGCAAATAGGTCAGTCTATGAATACTGAACTGTGACTAGGCAGTGGTCCACTGTAGTGTTAAAACTGTGGACCTGCTGTATTGCACATCAGGTCTGCTTACTGGTTACCTGTCTACTGGTTTATCAGACAATTTCTAGGATGTAGCTTAAAACTCTGGTGCCAACAAAGAATACCTGAAGCCTCAGAATGACCATAAAGGTGATTTACCCTGACGAACCTGGTCACCTTGTTCTTTTGGATGACTCTGCACAACAGATTTAACAAGCTTGCTTCAAGATGGAAGGGTCCCTTCAAGGTCTGCTGATGAACCAGAAATGGCAAGAGCTGTGGTGTCACATGTGAATAAGTGACTCAAGAAACACACACTCATGTATATGGATTGTGCACCATAACAGGCTTACACATTTACACTGGACATTATCATCCATGCCTAACAACTTCCAGACACTCCCTGTTTTATTCTAGTCATGCCTATCATTAGTGCCTCCATTAGGGTTTCACAGTTTTGCAAGAAGCCTTGCCTATTCTCTCACCTACTCCTCCTCACACACACAGGCTGCAATCTTATCCTTTTCTATACTGTACTATACTCCCCCCAACCATCTAATTTCTTCCTTCCTCAGGGTTGTACCACTAAGACGTTTGACCTCCCACAGTGGAAGCTAGGTTTGGTGCCCAATTAAATTCAGAGACTTTGCTACGTGAAAGTCCTTAATTAGGCTTTGGGGACATTCTCTGATGTCACATTATTGGAACATGTTGTGGAACATGTCTTTCACTGTTTACAGATCAATATCTATGTTGTAGCACTGGGTTCCAATCTTAGTGCATGTACACCAGTGTACGTTATTTTATTATCTTTCATATTTGCAGGTTTAAATGCCGCAACACAACTTTCAGTTGTGATTGTCTTCGTACCTTTCTTTTTTTCTCATTCGAGGATAGAATTTTTAAAATTATTTTTATTACTTCTGTGGAGGTGAAAGAAGGAAACCTTGTTACTAAACCTGCTTAATATGGGATTTAAATGACATGTTCACTGTTCTTTATGTGATTATTAGAGCCTGGTCTTTAGGGGCTCTGATCCAAAAATGTAAAAATAGAAAAATAATTTATCCACGCTTTTATGTCTTTTATATATATATATATATATATATATATATATATATATATATAAATTCAAGTCAGTTTATCGCCAGTTTGTTAAAAAATAATCAAGCCAAAACTCCCCAAAATTGAAAACAAAAATAGCATATTTAATATATTTACAATAAACATACAATCATGGTTTCATCTCCAAGAAATACACAAAACTTAAAGCCTTTTAATACAAACTCATAAGACTTAAAGAAAAATATCTTGAGAAGCAAAAGGGCACATTTCAAACTCTTAAGAGCGTCTTTGAAAATAGAGGTTATAATATTTCGTTTCAGTGTCCCTTTCCTTCATAAAGGTCTCCTGCAAAAGAGCCTGAAATTCATACACTGAATACCATCCGCAATATAAGCTTATATATCATTCTAAACCATCACTAACACCCGTTAGCACTAGGTTTCACTTAAAGGCAACATGCTAAGGTTCAAACCAAAGGATACTATGAATATATGAAGAGTTTTCTGACTGCTAGAGTCGATCCGAATTTTTATTATGGTCATACTTACAGAACATATAATCCTTCTTTTTCTAAAATATCTCGCAAAACACTATAAGTTTAACACTTTTGCACGAGGTGTTGTGTTTGGACAGTAAACTCTTCATATGTTGATAATCCGTTCATTAATAAAGTTCCTCTATTAAAGTCGATCACAACGCAAGGCCATCAAAGAAGGAATAATGAGAAAATATAATTTAAGAAAAACATATAGGCTCTCAAGTTAGTTTCTCATCACAAGGCAAAAAACATTTCAAGCACATTTAGGTGCGAAAAGAAACAGTCCTATTGCCACAGGTGAAAACACGGTCAAGCAAGTGTTGCCTCACTTGGCAACTCGTTGGACACACCTACAATATGTTCTTGTTTTTTCTTTTGTTGTTGCTTTTTTTTTGTCGCAAATGTTACAGTGCACAGGTTGATATGGCCACAACTGGCTCTTGTCAGCAGGGAGCCCGACACGAGGGCGCAGTTGGAAGGATGCAATCTGTGACGTTTGGCTGTTTTTTCTGCTCTCTGTAGTATTAATCATACAACGCCAAGCTGTGGCTCAACATTAGAGACTCTTAGTACAAGCAATGTGTTGTTCTCATAAGGACTAAAGCAACACAAATTTTGTCAATTTTGCCACAGATAGAAAGACATTAATCTATATTAGACGAGACCTTTACTAGTAGAAAAGTCCTACATATGAACAGTGACTACATCTTAAATATTACTGTTCTCTAGATCAATATACAACAGCTTTATAATCTTTTGGGAACACTTATGCATGATATGGTTAAAATAAACCGAGGTCATCACAGAGAGGCTACAAAACGCTGAAGGAACTGCTCCGCACCGCAGCGCGTTAAAACTATATTCTCCTCAGGACGTCACACAACACTTCTATGGTGTCACTTTTGGCACTTGTATGGACAGTAGAGTTAGTACAATGACAGACTGGATGATACCAATGTCCAAGACAAAGCCACCGTCAGAGGTTGTTGTCAGTAAGAAACCCACAAACTTTCCCTTTCAGTAAGTAGTCTGATTTTTAACATTAAAGCCAGTTGTCCTGAAGCTCCGACTGGACGTCTGTGTTACCACCTAATATTATGTAGTCAGATTTTGAGGCAATATCTGATAAAAACAAAAAAAAAAAAACAAAAGCAGTTTTTAAGTATATCACACCCACAATTCAAAGCAAAATCACAATTTTAGGTCCATTGAGGGTTGATTTCCAACATAGAGCTATATTCAATATATTAAAGCTATCCCACATCACTTTTAATTTATATAATTATCTGTTTCTGATGCTACAGAAGCATCAATATAGTACTTAAATCCTCTGCTATCTAAATACTTTATTAAAGTAGGTACAAATGATCTTCAACGGGTTGTGTGCTTCGAAAATAACCGGCAAAAATAGTTTTTGAAACACAATATGTGGCATAATTCCCCATAAATCGGATTAACAGAAAGCAAAAGTGGACTTTTGCGAGTTCAAAGATGAATTAATAATCTTTGGGATTGTCCTTACATGCCTTTTTTAAAAAAAAACAAAAAAAAAAAAACCTTTATTCTAATTAGAAAACTAGACACATTTGGAGCACAAGTCAAAGCAGCTACCACGGCTCCATGCTGGCAGGCTCAACAAAAGTTAGCTGCCAGCACCCTTAGACCTAACGCATACCGCCTTTTGTTCTCTCTTCATTTTCTTCATCTAATTGGCGGTTGGCAAACAACTAAACCCTTGTTCACTTGACCACAAATCCTATTCCTATAGCTAAAAAAGAGTTAGCTAGCTAACAGCTACCCAGTCACACTAGCCACTCGTCGTTTTCTAATTTTCGGGTTAGCTAAACTGCTTCTGTTTCCAGTATTCAACTTGAGTTCCCTACCACATCACACATATTTAAACAGAATTGGGAACAGTAGAGAATTTTTGATGCAAAACAAACATAATACTGAAGTGGCTGGAAAGTGGCACTATACTGTGCTGAACTGTGTACAGTACAGTGCTGGCTATATTTATTGGGACTAATGAGAAAGGTGCGTAAAAGCCAGTGGGCCTGTTTCTCCAAAGATAATCAAATCCTTGGTAAAGTGCGGGGCATCATAAACTCTTTGAAATCCCAGCAATTTCTGAATGAATGTCTATTAGCCCTTCTCTGCTGAATGTCCAGCAGAGAAGTGAAAACATTTGGCCAAATCAACAGAGAAACATAAAAACAAAACCTTCGTCCACGGCCACCGCAGTCCCCAGAGAACTTAGCGGTGGTGCAGTAATTGTTGAAAATAAAAGGCTGATTTTGTTTTAAAGTTTCACACGCAGTTACCCGGGGTTTCAATAAATATAATGTATGCAAGACATCTCTTTAGATCAGTTTTAAAAACAAAACATTTAAATCACACACACATACACACCCACAAAAAAAAAAAAAAACCACTTCGATCACTTAAGTGATTATGACTCGGCATAGTTAGAATATAAAAAAATGGCAACATCGCAATGCATTATGCATCATAAAGCTCTTTCACAGTCCAAAAAACAGTTTGAAGGACTCTTATGTTTAATATACTGTATGTTCAGCTGAGGAGCTGCCGCCAAAAGAATTGTAAAACTCGGTGACTTTATACTGAATGTTTGTCTTCATGTTTAAATGCATGCGTTACCAGCATGCGTTTGACTGTAGCAATCTCTGGCATAATGCTAACAGCCGTTTTTCCTGCGACTCAAAAGGTCTCGTTGCGTTGCTCTCGCGTTCAACTCGTTTTCCCATAACGTGAAAGAAACATATTCACAAAGTCTCTTGCTTGTTGTGTTATGTTGCTTTTTTTTTTTTTTTTTTTTTTAAATCCATGCATGACTGCTGCAGGGCACATCCCCACAAGTAGGATTAGACCACTCAGTTAATCTGCATGTCTTTGTCAGTCCTGATAGAATTATGTTGTTGGTTTAGCTGAATCAGGTATTTCTTTTTTACGCTACAAAGATAGTTACGTAACATTTGTATTTATAAGTGCATGTTTAAAGTTTTTTTTATTTATTTTTTCTTGCAATCTGTATGCTTTCTGTTGAAGTTTAAGGAAAGAGCTCACTGTTCAGGAAAATTGGTCTGGTCCAGCATGTACCAAGGCGTTATCACAGGATGTAATTATTACTTGTTTTTGGTTCACATTCATGTATTTTAGGTATGTCTGAAAATTCAGTAAATAAAATTGGTTGAGTAGCCTTCACCGCCCCCCTTTAGATATCTGAGAAATCTTTAGAGAATATAAAACTTTTGAATAATAAATCCCTTGAGGTGGCTGCTGGCGCAAAAACAAGAAGAAACATGTTTTAGTATTCATTTCTTTTAAATATTTTCGTTTGATTTAATACCTAAAATAAGTTTTTTTTGTTTTTTCAACATAAGGAATAAACTGAGTATGAGTTTTGGAGAGTATTAACAAATGTTAGTTTTAAAAATCCTTCTGGTTTGGTTTCCAAGTAGTTCAGGCTTAAAAACTGTAAATTTTTCATCTCTACTCTAATCTCACCTGAGAAACGCTCAACTGGTTTTTACTCAGATCTAAAAAGTAGGCATGACCCTAATATAAATCAACAGTGCTGGTCAGAAATTTACATACATTAATCACTGTCAAGAAAGTCCTATTCATTTTGGGGGGGGGGTTAAGTCTCCTGTGTCATGGTAGAATTATCGTAACACTACGATGTGGGGTAAATACGTGTTATCTTACATTATTTTATACAGTTATTTTAAATATTTGGATCTGTATGCACAATAACACACACAGGCTTGATATTTGACCATTCTGCTCATCAAAGATAGTGGAACTCATTGAAATATGTTGGTTTCTTGCCACAGAGCAGACTTCAGAAAATAGTCTTTAAATTTTCAATATGGCTGAGGTCAGAGCCGTTCCATAAACTTAAAGTCAGCCTTCGTATTTCAAACCAAAATTAGTTTGGATGTGCTTTCAGTTTATCTAAAACCATGTCACCAACACTGATGCCTTCAAACTTGACTGAAATTTGCAGCTGCCCACTGGGATAGATCAAAGAAAGTTGGTGTGCTAATTGTATTAGCATAATGCTATGCTAATCTATCAATTCTTGTAGAAAGAGTGGTCAAATATGCTGGCATAGTTATGCCAGAAGTGTTTTTATGACTACAAAAGAATGTAGGTTTTGGTGTTACGCATATCAAAAAACTCAACGTTAACTTTCATGACAACGAGGAGTGAATGTGAACCTCTGACCAGCACCATACTTTTGGTTTCCAACACTGTTACATTTTATTTGACCCTTAATTACTTTCAGACTGAATGGTGAAAAAAATACCACAAATGACTAAATGCGTTACTAAGTCAGTTTGTGATTTTGAATGTTGTTTTTTCTTTCCTTTTTTTTGGAAGTCCCGTTACTGTTTTTAACAGATCTAATGTTTTGGATGAACAATGCTCTACATGTTGCACAACACAGAGAGAGAGAGAGACTGTACATCAGATCAGATGCACACTAGTGGAACCTGCTGGCCTCGTGTAAATTGCCACTATAAAACCGACTCCATGTTGTCACTCGTCTCCTGGTCCTCCAGGTTGTATATAAACTTTGTCCTGTTACTTGGGTTCTGGGTAATCTCTTTACCCAAATTGTCCAGAGTCACATTGGAGGCGAAAAGTTCAGTGGGCGTGAGGTAGCCCTCGTTGTTCTTGATGTACCTCCTATAGTTGCTTTTCAAGCACTGCCACGTGGTGGCGTACAGGAGGAACGCCGAGGACTTGAGCACAATGGCGATGCTGACGTACAGATGCCTGTAGGCCACGTTGTCGTACAGCATGCAGGCGCCCTTCTCGCCGCAGACCGAGCTCCAGGACAGACAGGTGGAGTCGATGCCCATACCAAAGATCAGAGGGGGAGGGATGAAGCCTGGAGCAGGAGGGAAGGGGGGTTGTGGACAGACAGCAGGTCAAAAGGCCAGTATGAGCACAGGTTTGAGCTCACGTTCCAGCTGGGTCTGAGCTGACAGACTGATGAAATGCTTAAGGTAGGCGAAAAACCTCTCTGACATGTTAGCCTACAGCAGGGGGGACTTGCAACAAAAATTGAAGCCAAACAACAGTGGGCGTGTTTTGACACATTTAAAGTGAATAAATATGGATTCCTCTTACCTATCAGCCTCAAGAGGAGGAAGAGAACTCCAAGAGCATATGATTTAAGCTCAGGGCTTACAGTTCTGAGAAGAAAAACAAGAACAACACAAAAGGGAAACAGATTAATGTACAAAAGTGATCTCCATAAGGAAGTGCTTGATCCAAAGTTGCATCAAGTTAACTGTTAGCTGTAGCACTGTCACAAAACGAAACAGTCGCTAGCGGCTGGACTCTTCTGTTAACCTGTGGCTGTCAGGGCCTGGTTAGCATAGCAGTGTATTGTCAGTGTCACTCATAGTCCAAAAAAAATGCTTCTTATGTTAGATGGTCGCTATGTGTCCTCGACACCCCACTCAGTTTACTTTGTTTATCTTAATGAAATGAGCGTTTAATTTCAATATCAGGATCAATATATGATCAAGGAACTACTGAGAAACTGATTGAAACAGAAACTTGCGCCCCATGCTGCTGCCAGAGAGAAATTGTTTCAAAATGTAAAAACTAAACTTCACCAGTGGTGGTATTGACTTGGCTAATGTAAAAAGACTAATCACTAGAATTTTTAAACCACTGATATACTTTTGTATTAATTATATTCCAGAGAAAGAGAGACTCTGTATTCTCCTCTCTCTGAGGTGTTTAAGCACACGTCTAGCCCCCAAAATGTTTCACTTCTTTACAAGAAAGATGATTTGTATGTAGAAAAAACCATCTATTACTGTTATTAAGCTAATGTTTTTTGTTTTTTTTAATCCTTGTGCGTGTGAGGAGTGAGACAACTGATACAAGTGATATGGGTGTGGGGTCGGTTGGACCCCATTTATAAACACAAGGATTAAACACTATAGCAGACATGCTAGGAAGCTCGAATGGGTTGGGTGGGCTAGCTAACAGAGCCAATAAGCTAATTAGCTGGCTGAAATTAGCTTCTTAGGCTACCAGTGTGCCGTTTTAGACACCAGAAAAGCATAGAGCAGTAATATTCTTCACACTAGGCATCTCTACTTAAAAACGTCTGCTAAATTCAGCAGGTGGTTGTTCCATATTTACAGTAGTCTTCCAGCACTCTGTACATGCGCTAGAATATATCTGCAGCTAGCTGACATAAAGTGATACATGATTCTCATTTTAAAAAGTCTGACTACTGTTCATCAGAATCAAATTAACAATAAACAAATGTCTTAGAAATAATTAAAATTGTTGTAGTCAATTATGCAAGAGAAAAGCAGGCCAAGCCTTCATGGACACCATATTCCCAGATACAAACAATCCCCAAATAAAAATCTTTAGACAAGTGGTATGTGTTATTTTTGGTACTTTGATCATTCTCATGAATGTGTGACATAATATTCCCCCTTGTGTCTATATTCCTATCTATGACACCTATTCTGATGATTCACTCGTACAACGTTCCTTTCAGGATGCTCCAACTCACATCATCCCCTCTGCCAGCTCCTAATGTTCCTGGCTCCCTCTTGTGGGCTAACTGAGACAGTACCTGATAAGGATGATGACGGAGGGCGTCTGGGCCATGGCTCCGATCATGCTGCATACACAGATGACACACAGGAAGGTGAGAAACGCATACTGACAGCGGGGGCTAGAGCACTTCCCTGGTGAGGCCTCGTTCTCGCCGCCGATGCTGGGTATGCACCCACAGCTGCTCAGGTTCTGACGCAAAGACAAGAACCAGACGGTGAGTGTTTCTCCTTCCTCGCTGTCCAGGAAAGTCTTTTTTGTCTCCACTTACTGGTTTGGTGCAGCCAGCGAAGCAGGCTGAGATGTAGGTGACTCCGTTGGAGCCACAGACGGGACTCACTGAGGCGGTGTAACAGTTGCAGTTACTGTTGCAGCCTGACTCGGGTTGCTTCTTCGACTGCAGCGTCCTACAGAGGCAGAGAAAAAGTGTATCAGTGATTACACGTCAAGAAACTTAACACAGTAACCAATTATGAAACAACCAATAAACATGACATTTTGTCATTTGCCTTCATCAAGCAAATATGTATCAAACATTGATTAATGTTCCAGTTATTCATTTATTATTAATCAAAGGGAGCTCTAAACAAGTGGGGGTTGTGAGTCTCTCACATCTTAGTAACTTAATGATCTTACTCATTGTTGTAGGCCACCGTAACCCCAGCAACAGGCCCCGTGTCACAGCCCAAGAAGAGGAAAGAGACGTAGCAGGCCGTGGACACCAGGTTGACCAGCATGGCCATGCGGACCGCTCCGAGAGCCGAGAGGTTCAGCTTCTTAACCAGGAGCCCCCCAAGGAAGATACCCAGACAGGCACAGGGGATGGCGGTCATACCTGGAGAAGCAGAAGATGTCGACTGAATCATTTCCTTCCACGCAGAGGTTTCTACACAGATACTGCTGTTAATGTTTACAAGTTTTACAAATTGATTATTAATCCATTAATTTATCTTCTTTCTAAACATTTATCCTTTTCTACCGTGTTGACAGTCTTATGAGTTATGAAATATTTATGTTTTTATGTTAACAATCTTAATATAAATATAACTTATATAAAATGTAAGTGTTTAGTATGCAAATTAGGTGATTCAAGCATAATTAGACATATTTCATATTTGTGGTCAGACATTTCTGACCACTAGAGGACAGTAAAGTTATTCCAATATGACGCCTGGTATGTGTTGAAAATGCATCAACCGTCACTGGTGGTATGCATGTGCCACCTTGGCCATGTGGTGCTTGAGACGAATTCAAACAATAGTCTACAAGAGATTAACCTAATCCATTTGGACCGGATAGATTTCTGTTTGTATTACCCTCCTTAATAATTTAAAGGTAAAACAATCACTAGCCCAACATTGAGTCAGGAAAATGGTCACAGTACCTAGCAGCTGATTAGCTGAGGAAGTGGTGAGGTTGAACTGCTGCTCCAGGTATTTCCCAAGGAAAGCAGCAAAACCAGCAACCACAGCTATCTCCATGCAGGCGGCCAGCGTGATGCAGCTGAACACCGGGTTGGACAGAAGATGTCTGGTTACCCGGGGGATCACTGGAAGGAGAAAAGGAAAGAAAGATCCAAGTATAAAAGTATTGTTGCCTTTACTCAATCTCCTCCTACTGTATCTTCTCACCTCTCAGATGCTCCCAGACCGAGAGTCCGCTGTTCATGTCGAAGCCACGAAACTCTCCGTTGGATTTAGAGTCCTGGCTCTCCAGGCTCAAGGAGGTGGGCAGCATGGCCTGCTCACTCTCCCCTCGAGCGTCCATGTCCTGCTCGTCCAGCGCCTGGGGGAAGCCGAACATGAAGAGGGCCGACAGGAAGAGTAAGGCACTGCAGAGGAGGAAGCCGCCCCACCACGCCCCGATCCAGCGAGGGTCATCCGGGGTGATGTCCAGCTTACCTGGGCAAGAAAGGTAGGAGAAAAATTTACAAGGATCTTTATTAAAAGCTTAGGAAACAAGTGACTTCAATCTGTGCTAACCCCACTGAGATCATGTCATCACTTCTTAAAAATCACATGGATTCAAATAAAGATGAAAAAGCTGCTGCACAGATCTACTTTAACCTTTCTTTTAGAAACGGTTTGAATAGTTCAAATTGCAAATAATCCACTAATACCGTCTGATTCTGGCATTTAATGATGTTGCTTGATCTGAGCTAATTTCTCATGATTTTTCATTTTTAACAGTTGATATGGTTGTCTCTTCACATGCCTGATTTAAATTGTACATGTCAGTCAATGATCAGTATGGAGAGCTAAGACCTTTAGAATAACAAGCTGTCAGTGGTGTTCCCCAGGACTCTTTGGCCTCCTAATTTTTCTGCCTTTTGAGGACACTTTTATGAAACACACCATACATTTTCATACTTTGCTGTTAAATGGAAGGTGTTAGAAATGATTGAAAATGTGTGTTTGATGGGGCGACAAAATGTACGTTTTTTTTCCAACAATTGTGTTGATTTTACAGAAGTTTTTTTAATTTGGCAAAGTATGTGGATAGTTCAGCTAATTACAGTGTGTTGTGAAACATGGCTCGGTTTTCAAAGTTGCAGCTAAACAACTGCTTAATGGAACCAGAGTGGCTCAATGTTTTAAACGGTCTTTTATTTTAAGCTCAACGCCAGGAAGACTCCTACATTTCTACTGGTTTATTCCTGAGAAAATGACTAGAAAGAAGTAAAATAAAGTGAATTTGAATGGAAGAAATAAAAAACAAAAGTAATTTGTAGAGCTCACTCTGAGCTTTTACAACAAATTGCTATTTGTTGTAAAAGCGTTTCCATCTATTTGTTCTGGAAGTTTTGCGACGTTAACAAAATGGATACTTACTGGTGTCGATGAAAACAGCATCAACGTAGACTTTGGTACAGATGGAACCTAGGATGAAGCCACAAGCTGGGCCGAAAACTAGCGTTGAAAATAAGATACCTGCAAATAAAAACAAAAACAAAAAAAGAAAAGGACAAATGAATATCAAATATTAGATTAAATATTACATAAGTTAGAAGAGACAAAAGCAAAAGCTGAATTTCACTGCTACACCATGACAGACGAGGTAAAACAGCTCATTTCACCTCATCTGCCAGCAGAGGGCAGCATTGCATTAAGGCCAGCTGCTGTAAAAGGAACCTGATGCAGACCACTTCTTCTTTGTCCAGTTCCAAAATTTATACCTCCCAAGGGCACAGTAATGCACAGTCAACACGTTGCACAGACCTATTGATCTAAGACGAGATAATGCAGTGGCATTAGGACTGATCAAGCAGGAAATGGCTTCTTTGCGTATGAGTACACTCATGCAGCAGCCGCCTCACTTTGGCGCTGGGGCTAAGAGCTTTCCAAGAGGAATCAGACCAGGCAAAATTGTGTTTGTGTTTGGAGCAATTAATATGTTACAGTGAATGGGAACGGTTAAGTGCAACAAGAGGAAGTGATGGGCTGTCTGCTAATAATGAGCCTGAAGCAGAAAAAGTGCTGTTTACTCCTGCTACAACAAATCGACCATTAAACCCTTCTAGAAATGATTTTATGATCACTCTTATATCTATTATCAGGGATTATTTTTTTATAGAGGTCGGAATCTACTGAAAAATCTAAGAAAAAAAAACCGCCTCAAAGTTATTAAAAGTTAGTTACCACTTTCAAAGTTATTCACACACATTTTGTCTGTCTTAAAACACAAAACTTAATCTAAAGAAGGGAAACTCCAGCACTTCAACTTGATAGATTTGAATATGCATATTTCAGTCACAGACCTTCATCGAGCAAAAAACATTCCAATGGTGGAATAATCTCTTAAATAAAAAGCTGTTCTAAGTGTTTCATCAATCACATCCAATAAAACAAAAAGTGCACAAGAAATATATATATATATATATATATATATATATATGTATATATATATTTATATATATATATATATATATATATATATATATATATATATATAAATGTATAAAAAAATCAATCAACATGGTTAGGCAAAAGGCTAACTTTTTGTTTGTCACCATGGAGATTTGGGGAAAACTGATGGGACCAAAATAGACGCTGTTTGCTAGACGCCAATCACTGTACATCACCACAAACACACCATCGCCATTAAGCATGGTGGTAGCAGCATCATGCTTCACGGCAGGAAGGCTTGTAAAGGTAGAAGGAAAAATGAAGCAGTAAAAGTATCTGGAGGACAATTTGAAGGCCTCCTAGAAATAGTCTGTCAAAGGATTGAAAACGTTCAGTTATCTCAGCCAAAGAGCTTTGGACGTGAAAGCAAGATCCCCATGAAACCCACAGCCTCATCCAAGAGTTTATGAAATGACTCCAGCAACTATTAGAGAAACTGAACACATGCATCTAAAAATAGAAGAGGATTCACATGTTGAACTGCTGGAGAGTGTGGTCTGCTTGCCAATAGATATTTAAGTACAGAGTTTGAAACGTGGGGCTTTGGGCGAGGCCAGGTTCCCCATTCAAGCAGCTGAATTTTGAGTTATATATATACATAAAAAAAAGATATACTGATATACTTTTGTATATATATAGTAATTATATTAAAGACAAAAACCTCAAGTAGATGAAAGAAAGGTCAAGGAATCACCAGTGTAGTGCCGGTCAGAGGTTTCCGTCAATGTCAGAAGCAAATGAGTCGTTAGTTGATGAATTTGAACCGTTCTCTTTTCAAGTTAGAATGATGACATATGATGTCTATGTCAGATTTCTTCTTAAATATTTCAGATCATCAGACCATTCACTTATTTTTTCGTCCATCATACGTAGAGAAAATCTACAATCAGTTCAAGCTCATCCAGTTGAATTTATTTTACTTTTTTCATGCTTTGTGCTGTAGCCTGAAAACAGAACAATTCAAAAAGCCCCAAAATTATATAACTTTATCCAAACAGTATGTTCATTTAAACTTCTAACACACACTGTATCTATTACACTAGTTATTGCACTGAACCTAACCTGAAACGCACAGCTAAGCTCTAAGGCTACTGAGGTCTTCATAAATGCAATGTGTTTCTGTGATTCAGTGATTGTTTCAGCTTATTTCTGCTTTAATGCCTTCAATAAACTGCTTAATGCACATTTTATCCAACAATTACATTTGTTGAATGAGGTACAAGACCTGTAAAAGCTTTTGTACATGATTTTGGACATAACACGTATAGAAATGGTTGAAAAGGTTCAATAATTTCTATTGGAACTGTCACAGATTCAGCCCTAGGAGAAACCAGGAGGTCCATCTATATGTCACTGATTTCCATTACAGTTGATCCAGTCTGCAGTCAAACGTGACCCTAACCATTAGCAACCTCAGCCAGCACGTCTGACAACTCAACAGCTGACCAATAGATGCATTCCTATATCTTCATCTGCCCTCCACCAGGGGCCAAACGGGCAACACATGGTGCTTAAAGGGGCAGGATTACGTATTTTTCAGTAACATAATGTCATTTATAGCACAATCAAGTAGCTATCTTACCTTCAGTTGTTATAAAAATGCTGTGTATATCAAATATAACTTCAAAACAAATTGACTTTGTAGTTGAACACCTTGAAATTGGGCCTCTCTTAAAGAGAGTCTCTGTCTCTTTAAGAAGCTCCTGTTAGTTCTGAAGCTCCACCTTCAGGAAGTCGTCACAACATGGCTTCTCTATTAACCCTTTAGCAACATTTTTACCAGCGTTGCACTGAGAAGTAGCTCAATGAGTTTAGGAGAAGCACAGTTCCACCAGATGTTTGCTAATTGCTGTTGGCTAGTCTGAAGGAGCTGAGTGGGGGAGTCGTGGGGAGGGGTGATCCTCAAAGGCTGGTGCTTGGTCTCACCAGGCATTTTGCACAGCTGAATGGTTGCCATGGGAGAATAAAGGGTTTCTCACACGTGAATGAAAGAATCAAAGCAACACCGCAGGTATATTTTTGATGAGTGAATCAAAAATATACCTGCAGTTATTTAGCATTTCATAGCACATAACACGACGAAAATCCGCTTTAGTCAGTGATGTACAGTATGTGATGCAGTATGGCGGGCACACACACCCAGCAGATGATCAGATCAACAGCAAACCAATGCTCTTATCTTTAATGGATCCAAACCAGCCTCAATAAAAAAAGCGAACCAAAGCCAAGCGCCTGGAGCAACTTTCAAAGTGAAACGGCTGACGATAACAACAGCAATAATATTGACACAGATGTGCACGGAAGTGTTGTTATGCAACGGCAATGAATTAGAGAAAAAACATTTAGAAAGTGGATTCAGAAAGGATAGTTCTCTGTTGTGAGTTGCTGCTGCGGTTGGTGATATCACTGCAGTCGTTGCCTGTTGAGGCACCGAGCCTTTGATGATGTACGCTGCCGCTTTGTTGATCAAACGTTAGGCTGTCTTCTGCTGGAGAGATTGACTAACTCCGGCAGCCCTAATCCAAACCCTTAAAGCTCATTAGATACATCCCATTAAACATGCATCCATTCATTCATTGTCTAAACCTGCTTATCCTTGCCAAGTCACTGGTGGCTAACTACAGCAGTCACTGGGCGAGAGGCGGTGTACATCCTGGACTGGTCCGCCAGTCCATGACAGCATTAAGCCTTTAGTTATTATAGAAGACATGTTCAAATGTTGATGTCTAATCAATTTGTTTATTTTTGAAAAAACTGTTATTTATTTAAAGGTTTACAACAAACATTAATATCAATATACTTTGAGAAGCACTCTGAGTTCCCTTTGGTCAGAATGTTGCCTTAGGCCTCGACTTAGCAACTTAGAAGTCTAATACAATCTTGTACACACCTCTTGTTGGCCTGTCATATTCTTTTTAGAAATATTCTTCCCATCCTTGCAAAGACTAAGAAGTGTCTTAAATGTTTTCTACTTGTGGGTAACCTATCAGGCTGTTACGGGATGTCCTTCAAATTGACAGGGCATGGTCTTATAACCCTTCCCAGATTGACGCACAGCAGCACTGGCTTCTCTAGAAGCTGAGCAGTCTGCACAGTCATGTGGTTTCGGCACGTTTGTATTCACATGCATCTTTCATACAATGGCACAGATCACCTGTGGGACAGATCTCCATACCGCTGTCTCAGGACTAGAGCTTTTTTTGTTCACATGACCGTACACGAACTGACCACTGAACACAGACCATCCCTTTAGTTCAGAAACATCAGCAGTTACAGTACTAGAGTTTTTTTTTCTTTTTAGTTTGCAAGGCAGTCTTAAAATGCTATGTGCACACTTTATTTTATTAGACCCTGACATTGCTCATTAGATGCAGTAAGTACAGCACTGAGAACTTGCTGCAGTTCAAATGCAGTGAACCTACAGCTGCAGACTGTTCATCACATCTTCAGCTGAGCTTCAGAGCAGTTTCACTTGGCTTCAGTTAATGTGACTGGAGACTTAGGAAGTGAAGGAGCGTGACTTCAGTAAACCAAAGAGTCTAGGGGGCGGTTCTGTACATTCTGTACATATGGTACCATGGGAACTTTGGCTGCATCTCTGATCAGTGCTCCCCCTGTAATTTTAGGTGGACGACCTCGTCTCCCTAGGCTTACAGTTGTGCCACACTCCTTCCATTTCCACACCATGGATTGAACAGCGCTCAGTGAGGTGTTCAGAGGTTGAGAAATCTTTTTACAGCCTGAGCCTGCTTTAAACGTCTCCACAACTTTATCCCTGACCTGTCTGGTGTTTTGAATCATGTATAATTTGCTTTCTACTTCACAAATGCATAGCACTTCGTTTTGGTCTGTCATATAAAATTCCAATAAAATATATTTATGTTTGTGGTTGTACAGTGGTAAAATAATGGAAAAGTTCAAGGGGTATGAATACTTCTGTAAGCCACTGCATATGACCCCAATGAAACACGTTGCAGTTTGACAGATTCAGTGGGTGCATACATGTTTTTATCAGCGTAATTTGC